GAGAAAAAAATTGGTGTGTGTGTACACACATATATAAATGATATATCTATACAGCTGCTGTTCTATAGTGATACCATGAACACAGTCAATTTCAATATGGGAGTTTTCTGCACCCGTTTCAGCAGTGTCACACTACATTTTATTGAATACTTTGCTCTTCTCTGTTCAGCAAATGAAAGAAAAAATCACAACCCTGTGTTTTCAAAAGTTTATCTCTTAAAACAGATTTTTTTGAGGAACGTCAATGACTGGTTTGGTTATGTAAGTTGAAACTCTATTTCTATCATATCAGGCTCCCCACAGTTTACTTTTAAAAGAAAATAGCACGCCTTTACTTTGTTCTTTCCATTGCATTCTCCCATAAGGACAACCCATTTTCATTAGATATGTTTCAGAGCCCTGGATTTGAAACCCAGCCATTCAACTAAGCAGGCATTTTAAAGCTTTAAATAAACAACAAAATTTTCCCTATGCATCCATACATTCAGAACAAACACTGACTGGCTTCTTTCCAGATTTGTATTGGTGTCTCTTAATCAAAGCTGAAAGACATTGTCTTTTGTTGATAACTCCAGGGTTAGTTGGTCTTGGCAAGGTTCACTGTGTCACAGCCAACTTCCCAGTTAATCCAGTTAAGAGTAATCAAGCATCCTGCTGTAAGGCATTAGCTGATTGTCTCTGGGATGACAGGACATAATTAGTGTCTTCTCATTTGATCATCTGTGATCAGCTCCCTGTTATGACTTGCGGGAGACTAGGAAGTTGGCTTTATGGGTGCTGAGTGCACTTTTTCCTTTGCAAAAAGTCTGTATTAATATGGGAAATGTTGCCAAAATATGACCACAATGAGCCTGTTATAACTGAAAGGCAGAAGCTATCTCTACTGCTGCTATTTGGTATGAGGGGAGTTATTTTAATATAGAATATCCCATTCATTTTTTTTTTTTTTAAAAATGAGTCTAACAAAGTCCAGTGAGACCCTGGTATCTGCTGGGGTTTGGTTCCAAGATCTCCTGTGCATACCAGTCCATGGATGCTCTAATCCCATTAAATACAGTGGTGTAGTAAAATAGTGTCCAATTATACCAATTATATAAAATGGTATAATTAAGATTTGCTTTTTGGCCTTCACAGTGGGCATTCTATATCTGTAGACTTGACATTCATGGATTTTGGCATCTGCGGATGGCAAGCCCAAATTGTGTGTGTGTGTGTGTGTGTGTGCATAGGAGGAGGGAAGATCTCTCATGTAATCTGCATCCCCTCTTGGAACTTGAAACAAATGATCTCCTTTCACCCAAAGCAGTAAGCCAATCTCTCTCTGTGCCTACCCCCTGTTGCCTGCCCACTGCAAACCCCAGCCAAATTCCCCATCCATCCATCTCAGGGATATCCTGATCCAATCGCTGTTTTTAATACAATAAAATTAAAGCCATCAACAAGTATAGAATCCCATTGTCAATTTCTGGGAGACATTCACCCTTTGTTAAGATGACCAGATGGCCCATTGCTTGGGGCTAGTTTTGAGGTATAAATATGGTCCCAAAACCTAACCTCTGTGCACACAGCCAGCATAAACCCCAGCACTGTATACTATATGGTATGTGTCACTCTCACACCTCCCAGTCTGAACCACTCCAGCTTTCTGTGCTTACTCACTGGAGAGGTAATTAGAACCCCCCTGCAAACCCTTGAAAGCTCCACTATCCCTTTTTCATATTTCCATTTTGGTTAGCTCTGTATGCCGGGTCTGTTTGAATTGCTATCTTGTGTGTATGATTGTAAAATAAAAACTTTTTAATTCATCCCAAACCTGGAATCCTCCTCGGTTAGTACTGGTATAAACAGGTGCAAAGGTTACCAAAGCCTCTTGCAAAAGCTAATTTCTCCAATATCTGAAGTAACACTGACAGTTGGTGGGGATCACCTAGTCCCCCACCTGTTCTTTGGGTAACATCATGATTGAGATCCTACTTCTGTGCATACTTCTGCATGCACAGTTTTGCATCCTCCCACCACCCAGCAGCAGTTACTGCTGTCACTTACTGGTGAGGAATGGGGTGAGGAACAATAGGGATCATAGAGAAGCAGCTGGTGTCTCCAGTCATGGAGAGGAGAGGAGAGAAGTAGAATGTAGCTGCCTTTTCCTTCCCTTGGGTGCCCATAGCAGCCAGATCTTCATGGTCAAAATCACTTCCCTTCTCTCCACAGGTAGATGACAGCAATAGCTTTGATGGTGGGAGGTTTTTGGATGGAGAGCAAGGGCAAGAAAATAGCCCTCTGTGCTCCATGCAAAAATTGAGTTTACATAAATGTATGCTGCGTGTAGGTGTGGATAAATCACTCACAGAATGCTGGCCTGTGACAACATTCAAATGAGGATTCAACCAGGTGAGGAGGAAAGATCTGTCATTAAAAAATAAATAAATCAGAAAACACTGCAGCTGCTGTAAAGGAATCAGAAGATCTCACACCAGTGGTATAGTGAGCCAAGGGTCACAGGTTTGGAACAAGAGGCATTTTTGATAGGCAGGGCTGATGACATTCCCTCCACCTTCACCTATGGTCCTCTCTTCTCTCAGCCTAGCTGCAATCCACACAGTATTTGGGGAGAAAAGGCATTTTCCACAGCAACAATGTATTGTTGTGGGCTATCCATTTTGTAATGCAACGTAGATGCAGAGGAGACAGACGTTTGGTCCTGAATGGGTAATAGAGACCCATTGATTTCCCAAGAGACATGCTCCTAGCCTGGATAGAAACTGACTAAAACTGGTTTGGGATGTTTAAGGTCAGTCAGAGGACAAGAGAAGGATGCAGGGCCATTCATATTCTGGAGCAGGAGGAAAAGGATGCACAGTTCATGTTCCTGTATCTTTCGCCCTTCATGGCTAATAGGAACTTTGGGAGAGTTTAAGAAAGGGGATCAATGTGATGGAAAACAACTAGTTCACTCCCCCAATCTAAACTGGCTCCCTTGATGTTTGCCTTTAAGACCTCCTTTGCCCTAGATCAGTCTATTGTCTGAGGAAGGGAAGGATAACATTTCTTAGCAAATAAAGCAAAGGTTTCTCATTTATTTGTACTCCTTTATTACACAACTGTCAATTAAAGGTGAATCAAATTACATCTGTTTTGACATAAGCAAGTACTTCAAAGGATTACTGAATTGTGCTTTCAGAACCACTTATACTTCTGATTGAGATGGAACACTATACACACACAATTAGACAATTTATTTCTCTATTGTCAGTAGCATGGCTGCATTTAGAATTAGTTTCCCCCCCCCCCTTCTAAGAATGGTGCATGCAGCTGGGATGGAATGCAGTCATGAAACACTCCTTCTTTGTTTTAATGTTTCCTTTGATTTAATTTTTTTAAAAATAAAAGTGCTTTCCACTACAGGTTATCTGGAATTTTGAAAGCCTAAATATTCTAAAATCCAAAAAATTTTGAGCTATTACGTGTACTGTGAAAGCCAGAGTGGTGCAGTGGTTTGAGCGTTGGACTTCAATTCTGATGATCAGGGTTCAAATTTCTGCTTGGCCATGGAAGTCCACTGGGTGACCTTGGGAAGTCACACGATCTCAGCTTCAGAGGACAGCAAAGGGAACCCCTCTCTGAACAAATCTTGCCTTAGGGTTTCAATAAGGTGGTAATGACTTGAAGGCACACACACACACACACACACAGCATATACTGTATTTGTGAGGCTGGAGAGAGATGCAGCTGGAGAGAGACTCAAGGTTTTTGTAAATGGCAGGGAGCATGGATTTGTGACAAGCACTACACTTGGATTCCCACCATTTCATAGATGCTCAGTCCTTCTCCAGTTTCATTATGTCTCATTATGTATATGCAAATACAGGTATTCCAACATTTAAAAAAATCCAAAATATGGAATACTTCTGGCCACAAGCATTTTAGATAGGCGATATTCAACTTGCAATCTGTACTTCAGTTTTGCTTTGAGAAATATGTTCCCAGACTGTTTAGAAGGAGATGGGAATGCACCTACTATTTTATCCAAGTATAAAAAGCTTACGTTCATGTTTACTAGCTGAGCTTGAATTATGTCCTTGGTTTAATTGGATTCCTTTGATCAAGGGCAACAGAAGAAATCTCACTGCTTTTTGGCAAAGGATAAAAACCTCACTCCACCAAGTTCCACATGTAGAAGACCACCAAAGCAGTGGCAGCTGTAAGCTCCCATGTCAGTGGAGCAGTGAATGTGCTCCATGTTTCAGAGTCATAGAGTAATAGAGCTGGAAGGAGGCCTGTGGACTATCTACTCAACCCCCCTGCTGTAGGATCTCCATCTAAAGCATCTCTAGCAGGGAACTGTCTAGACTCTTCTTGAAGATGTCCAAAGAAGGAGACCCCTTCCTACCTCTCCAGGTCATTGGCTTCAGTGCTGAACTGCTCTTACTGTCAAGAAGTATGGACTTTAAATGTGCTACACAAGAGGCCTAATCACAGAGTTGGAAGAGACCACCAGGGCCACCCAGTCCAACCCCTCTGCCATGCAAGAAGACACAAACAAAGCACTCACAACAGATGGCCATCCATCCTCTGTTTAAGCACCTCCAAAGAAGGAGATTCCACTCTTCTCCAAGCCAGCGTATTCCACTGTCAAACAGCTCACCTTATAAGATATTGTCAGAACTTTAAATTCAAGATTCTCAACACTATCTAGCAATAGGATTCAGCATGTTGTACAGTTCAGATAAGACTGTGAAGTGGATTAACTGCTCCAAAGTGAACAATGCAGTAACTTGCATTTTGAGATTTCTCTTGGGGATTTGGCTATGGGAACTATCGTGTGTTAGGGATGGGGAACTGTAGAGAGAAAGGAGCTGCATCAGCCTCCCAGAACACTTTGGACCTCATTTGAAGAACCAAAGGGCAAACAAATTAGCACAGTTCTGACTGTCTGCTAGAAATTCAGAAAGGGTGGCTCCTGCCTGTCATCTCTCAGGAAGGAGTTCCCAATCATGTTGCTGCTTCAGATAAAGCCCTGTCACATGTACCCACCAGCCTAGCCTCATGGGGTGGGGGGACAACTGTAATGACCATTTTAAAAATGGAATCCCCCACTCTTAGTTAGAAATTCCCTATGCCTTTTTACCTCATATCTCCATGAGTGGAAAATGAGTCATATAGGCAGTACAATAACATCCAAAATCCACAGATCGGTGATACCTTTATTGGACCAACCAAAATGCACAATATACATATTGTAAGTTTTTGAAGCTCCACTAGCTTCTTCATCAGGCAAAGGTGTTTAAAATCATACAGGAGAGGAAAAAAATGATGTTGTTAGTCATAGGCCTGTGTATTGTGAAGTTGTTGTGGTTATTATTCTCAGTTCAGATGGCATGGAGGGTTTTCATGTCGGCAACTTATCAGAGAGGCCATGGGCCTGAGCCTGCAAGACCTGAGCAGAGCAGGGGGTCTTAGAGAGGTCTCATCCATGGGGTCACCATAAGTTGAGGTTGCTTCAAGGGCAGTTAACAACACCTTGCTCACGTTGCTTCTGCTAAATTGGACCCTCTGCCTGGCAACAAATCTCACTTTTGTGACAGCACAACTGGGACTCTACCGTGGATCTTAAATTTGGAGCAAGTCTCATATGGAAAGAGGTGGTTTTTCAGATATCTTGGTCCCAAATATTGGCAAATGTTTAAAGTATCACAGGATTCTGTCTTTTTAGGGCTATCTTACCTCTCTTCTAGGGCAACTGAAGCAAAGTAGAAGAAAGCACTATGGAACTGTGACTTGGTTGCTGCCTTTATCCCCAGGCAACCTAAGTAGAGTGTATGTGAGATGTCTGTGCCCTTGATTCAAGGTTAGAAACTGGTTGCTAAAAGAGCAGATGTACATGTTGGAAGAGCCTAGAGATCCTTCATAGGCAGTAGTTTTATAGCAGATAATCTGGGCACCTAGCACAGCTGCCACCAGATGGGGATTATGTTTAAACCAACTGTCCCTGCAAAAAATATCTCCAGTTTTCAGTACAAGATGCAAACAAGCTTTATAAGTACTAATCATCTGTTATGAGCCAGGATGATATATATGTGTGTAGTGTGAGGCAAAGCAGCTCTTAAGTAATTATATTTAAAATGAGGTACACTTTTCTGGGTGTGGAGACTACACTTTGTCTCTTGTCACTTGGAGGCTAGTTTCCTGATTACCGTACTTTTCATCCATTATGAATGGGACTGAGAACACATCTATGGTCTGTTGGTACATAGCAGGAGAGCTCAAAATATAGAACTATTTATGCATTGTGGCTGCTAGGGACGGGAAGAAATTTTTTTGGCTTGCATTTGAAATCATGAACCAGCATAACCTGTGTAATGTGTGGATCACAAGGCAATTGAGCTAATGTGTGAATCAGAACATACTTATCCTTCAGTTTTTTTCAGTTCCTCAAATGTTTCAGCGCAGTTCTGTGGTCAAAAAGTGAATACAAACATTCAAAAACATACATAGCCATGCTGGTCTCTATCATCAAGAAAAGATATAATCACGTATCACTTTCCAAGGTTTGTAACATGAGTTTTCATAGAAACAATCTACTTAATCAGATACCCCAGAGGTGCAGGAGCCAATTTTATCCCCCAGACATTCTCCCCACACAGAAAGTCCAAATACCTCTGTTTTCTTCTTCAATGGCAACAGGAAAAATGCACTTTCACTTCTTGTTGCCATTTTGAGAATG